TTCCAAAACAGGCCCCGCACATTTTGCATCGATTTTGTGTTTTTTTTCTTCCATGTCCCTTTATGCCTTCGTGCTTCTTCGAAACAAAATCTTCTATTATTGAACTATGAGGTTATACTTCGATGAAACTGGTGTATTAAATGCTAGAAGTTAATGTATTCTAAAGTCCGCGTCATTTCGATAGGTGAGGAAGTAAGTCTGCATCCAAGCTACTTGCAGTGTACTGTTGTACAAGAAAGGTAGGAAAGGGATAGAAAGAAGGAAACAGGGGGAAAGAGATAGGAGGGAGGGAGGGAGGGAGGAGGGAGAGGAGAGAGGAGAGAGAAAACAGAATTCAATTTGTCATTACCCAAAAGCCCTTGATTACAAACTTAACCCATCTATTTATAGCCTCATTGACTAACCAACCTTACTTCCGAAATAGTTCGTATTCCCCTATCTATTACATAGTATACTAAAGGAAAATGCTCTAATATCCCTTAAAGGGTATGAATTATATTATCGACTATGATATGTTTAAAGTCATGAACGAGATTCACTTGTCAGTTTTTTATGCCGGCTCTTTCATGATAGGGGCATGGGAGATCACTTTGGGTGATGCAAGGAATGTTCAAAGCCAATGGTGGATGTGGTTATGTTAAAAAACCTGATTTCCTACTGAAGACTTTCCCGAATAATGGGGTTTTTGATCCTAAAACCAAGCTACCTGTTAAGACTACATTGAAGGTGAGAGCTTCATTGCCTGGAGATATTATGGGGTAGGTGTCTGTGGTTATGGTCCTAATCAAGATCTGATACTTCTCTGACTCTTACTTAGGTGACCGTATACATGGGAGAAGGATGGTCTGATGATTTCCGGCCAACCCACTTTGATCAATTCTCACCTCCGGACTTCTACACAAGAGTGAGTTGATATGATTTTCCTTGTCTCTCTTTTTTGGTTGAGAAAAGGGGATGATATGATTTGTTGCATCATAATATTTCACATGGCTGAATCCCATATTCTAATTTAACAGTTACTTCATTCCGCACTTGTTGATTCTTCTGCATTTTGCTCCTCACGTGACAATGTTCATCCTAGCAATAGATGTTGCATATGATGAACTACCTAACCTGGATATCTTCTCTCTCTCCTTTGCAATAAAGCCCTACTTTAGTCACAAATGAGCCAATTCTCAAGTTGTTCCCCATTAAATTTTGATTTTCATCTCCGTCCTTCACGTCAGTCTACTCTAGTCTCTATAATAGCAACTTACTAATAAATTTAATGACGCGGCACGTTCCCTAACAGATCTAGGATGTGCCATGTGCCATGCCAATAGATTACAGAAGGACTAACGAAAATCTATTGGAACTAGCTCAGGAATTTACAGAGGACTAAAACAGAGTTCTAGTCCTTTCTTTTATCATCACCATACTCATGCCATGACTTCAATTTTTATGCAGGTGGGAATAGCCGGAGTACCAACCGATGGTGTGATGAAGAGGACAAAAGCAATAGAGGACAATTGGTTTCCTACATGGAACGAAACATTCGAATTCCCTCTTACCGTTCCAGAACTGGCAGTACTTCGCATAGAAGTTCATGAGTACGATATGTCAGAAAAAGATGACTTTGGTGGCCAAACATGCCTGCCTGTTGCAGAGCTCAGACGTGGAATTCGGGCAGTTTCACTACATAGCCGCAAAGGGGATAAGTACCCTTCTGTGAGGCTCCTTATGCGCTTTGAGTTCCTCTGAATCTTATTATGTACAGTATAGCCTTGAGTGGATAAACTTTTGTGTAATTGCGTTATTAATATCCCTAGATGTGCTTGCTGGAGTAATTAATCCATAAAACATGTCTGTTATCTTATTAGCTATATATATATATATATATATATATATATTCATTTATTTAAGTTATAAATCCTTCGGTTTGTGACCTATTAGGCCTTCCCCTCTAGGTTCAAATTGTGTATTTACTCAGTTTTAAGTTTCTAACTTTATGTATATTCATACCGAAAGACTAATCTAATCTACTGACCTACTTAATACTCCTCCGGTCCTTAATATAGAACCCAATTCTTGAGTTGGTTATGGTCCTAAATATAAGACTCATTTCTCATATTTATCAATTTTCTCTAAATTACCCCTATGAATACTCCCTCAACTACAATCAAGTAAAAGAAGGAGAGGGAGTATTAAGAAAGATGATTATGGTGTTTTGGGAAAAATATGTCACTTTTCTTATAATTAACTAACTTACCTAACTTTCTTAATCTAATCAAATTAGTTAAATGGGTCTTATATTAAGGATCGGAGGAGTAATATAAAGAAATATTTTTCAGGGATAAAGCTGAAGTTTTTTTTTTTTGGGTCAGAATAAGAGCTGAAGTTTTAATATGTAACTTGTAAGGCTTGTGAATGTATTCTATTAATCATATGCGTGATCATCAAATCACATTAAGGGGAAAAAATTGTCTCCAGAAAAAAAAAAAAGAAAAATTAGAAAATCGCATATCTTTTTCTTTTTAGTGTATTTTAATTTGATTATGGATGGAAGGCAATCTATTTTTATGGAGACATACTCTTCTTCTGTCTTTGGTAATTGTTTTTCAATTGATTCACTGAAATCTTAGCACAGTAGGTCATGTTTTCATTAAATCAAATATCATATTGAAACATGATCTATCGGGCACGATGATTCCATACGAACAGTTTTCATTAGAGATTTGTTATATATTTTGCATCACGTGATGTGAAGTTTTTTTTCTTTTCAAATAATTGTTGCCATAAAAACATTATACAGAGCCTTGTATATGTTACAGTTATTATTTCAAATTAATTTAAACATTTTTGCCGCCAAATTAATCAAACATTGAGTACTTGGTAGTTACTATGAACTATGCCTTTTGTTCGGAATTAAAAGGCACTTGTAACCAATTTACACCATTTAACAAGTTAGATAATAGCCAAAATTAACGTTCTCTGCATATTAATTCTGATTTAATCAGGAAAATTTTACTGATTACACTCTCAATTAAGGATATTACTGAAAAAACGTTATCATTGCCTTACATTTTTTAATGTGGTACTGTAGAGGAAAAATTCCTTACAATTTTAAATGGAGGGAGTAGCTTCTATTTACAACACTAACTTTGATAATCTGTCGTGTTCACATTTTTCGGTCAAGGGTTCACATTCTAATTATAATTGTTTTTTTTTTTTTTGCCAAACACAGTAATTGATGAGGTAGTTCTGAAAAATAAATTAACAAAAACGCATGGTTGGTGTCAAATGGAAATGCATTAATGCTGTCCTCATGGGGCATAACTAATGTGAAAATTGTTAAATTAATTTATTAAAATACTCCTAATAAACAATAAGAGACACGTAACAGTGAGCTCCTAATTATTTAGTCAGCATTCAAATAAGCATATTGACTAATCATTTCAACCAGGAAAGCAATTAAAGGCATTAAAAAAATTTTGAAGAAAAAAATTGTATATCCTATTGTTTCTTTTTTTCTTGTTTTGGAAGGGTATATAGTAATTATGCTTTCTAAATAATTAGAAAGGAAAACCTTGTTACTCACGCAATATGAATTGTGGAGGCTTTTCGGTCATAAATTGAAAAGCAAAAATTGAAACTTTTAAGACTTATAATCATTCAATATTAAAATTAAAATAAAACTATTATTATTAAGTTTTACGAATCTACTGTCAAACATACAGAAAATTGTTATTATTAAAAATTTTATTGAAATTATATTTTTTTTAAATATGATAATAGCTTTAACATTTTGAAAATTGTTATAAATTATTTTTTTTCTAATTTTGATTTTTTTAAAAAAGAATATGGATCATTGTAAGATACCATAATTACACCGTAAAACAGACAGGGTTCACTCATGAGATTCATATCTGGAAAGGCAGGGCCTTGATGTCACAACACAAAAATGTAATATACTCATCACACATGTCCCGTCCTCATCAGTCTACCTTTACGCCTCCGACATATTCAACTTCACATTTTCAGGCCCATGCTTCCCTCCATGGCCTTCAATATGCCCCCACTCGGAATGAATCAAAAGTTCTGAACTTTGAGCGTTGAGGCACCGCACCAGTTAATTATTCCCTACCGGGTCATCCCCACAGAAAATTCAGACTTCAATTTCTTCACGAACTTTCGAAGCAGGTCTGAGACCGACCAAGTCCTCTTAGTTGGTCATTGCTATTTCCACCGTGCAATAAAAGCAGCAGAAATACCAAATCGTCTGGTTAGAGAAACTTTGAATATTCTCGGTCAAAGTTGCGCCCAACATTGAAGTTAGGAGCGATATTTCAAATGGGGAGGCAAAAAAAAAAAAAAAAAGAAAGAAAAGATAAGTCTTTTTCTGTTTCTAGCTGGGGACCATAGGTAGAAAGATGACAGTGAAGGAAAAGGATTAACTATGATGCATGTGGGCTCACCATACCATATAGCTCAACCACTCATATACAGAGAGCAACTCCAGAATGAACCCCTATTTAGTGTTTTTTATACTCCTTAATAGACGTTCCTTGTCCACATCCGTCTTTTCCAATCTGTTCTCTTCCTTGCCCTTCAATTGGACGGTGGACGCTTCCTTATCAGGTTCTCACCAGAATAATGAGAGTTTGATGTGATATTCTTATTGCTCACTACTTCTCCCACCAAATACCATATACAGTTGTTGACCAAATAATGCTCATATACTGCTCTGGTTTTAATGTTCATCACAAACTGCAGCTGCAGGTAAAAGGGTATAATTACTTGTATCTTTAAGAGTAATGTCATGTGCAGTATGCAATGCATAAAGAGTAGATTGAGAGAACTAGAGGAACAGAAAAGATTGTCCATTTTCTGGTTAGCTGTTAGTGATCAATGTAATCTTCCATTACACAGCTAGAGTGTTGGATGATTAACCTAATCTTTACACCCCAAAAGGGTAAACCCAATGTAATTGTATCAGAAAGAATCAAATGAGACTCAGAACAAAATTTTTCAATGCCTGTTCTAATAATTCCGGGGGGGAAATAATAATTTGGATTATCATTCTGAAACAATAGAGATTGTGCCACTGGAGATGCTGCCATGACTACTATCACAAAGAGACAAAGCCCTCTCCAGATTGGCCACAATGTCAGTCATTGTTGGCCTGTCCTTCCCTTCCAAATTCACGCAGTGCATTGCAGTATACGCCACCAGCTCCACCGCCTCTGCCACGTTCATCTCCGGCGGCCCAACCCTCGGGTCCAGAATCTTGGGCAACTCGTCAGCTATTATTGCAGGCACTGCAAAGTCCACCAAACTCACTGGGGTGCCGCCATTTTCACCATGCTTGAATATAGCCCTCTTTCCAGTTAAGAGTTCTAGCAGTACTATTCCAAATCCATAGACATCACTCTTGGCTGTCAAGACATTCAGACCATAGTACTCAGGATCAATGTATCCTACGGTACCTGCGGCCTTTGTTGGCCGGTAATCATGATCAGAGTCTGGACCCATCAATGACAATCCAAAATCAGACACTCTCGCTGTCCAATTCGCGTCGAGAAGAATGTTGGAAGACTTTATGTCTCTGTGAATGATGGGTGGGACTGCATAGTTGTGGAGATATTCAATCCCTCGAGAAGCATCTAGAGCGATTTTGATCCTCATTTTCCACGAATTCAAGAAACTACTAATCTTTTCCACGTTGTTCTTGTCATGCAAATGATCGTGCAATGCTCCGTTCTTCATGTATTCATACACCAAGAGCCTCTCATCTTTTTCCTCACAAAATCCAACTAGCCTGACCAAGTGTTTGTGGTGTAAACGGGACAAGAATGCGAGTTCTGACTCAAATGCACTCTCTTTCTCTTGAAACTTCTTCATCTTTGAACCAATCTCACCCCTCTTGATCGCCACCTCGCGACCATCTGCGAGTTTCCCTCGATACACAACACCAAAGCTACCAGCACCAATCTTGTTTTCAAGGGAAAAATTATTCGTGGCTGCCACAAGCTCAGCTAGAGTGAATTCCTCTGCCCTATCCGGATGTTTTGTGGATGATGTTCCGCTCCTTTGCCGTCTCATTATCCTTGACCCCTGACGTCTAATGGTGGATGACCTCGAAGGCGGGCTATTGCTAGAATTCACTGCACCTCCATTATTGGAACTACCTTCTCTGGTGATTCTGGGTTGGACAGAATTGTGAACTTTCTTCTTACCAAAACAAACTCCAGTCCACAGGCAATAAATTACGGTGCATATACCGACAAAAGCTCCGATAGATCCAACAATGGCGAATGCCAATAAACCCCTGGTCAGTGCCTTTGATCGCGACGGCGGAGAAGAAACCAAGGGTGGCGGAGAAGGGAATGGCGGCAGCGTTGGGGCTGAAATGTTTGGAGAACAAGGCCTGCATATAACACCAGAACCAGAGCACAGATTTTGATATTGAGGATATTGACCACACTCACAAGAAGATTGAACACAAGGTCCTGGGAGAATAGGTGGTAAAGGAAGCTCTAGCGGATTGGAGCCAGAACTATTAGCCCAACCAGGTCCCCAGCACATTACAGAAAAGTTGCCGGAGACTAATCCGCAAGTAAAATTTGACCCAGAAACAATTAACTCGAAAGATGTTCCTTCTGTAACATTCGCCGAGAACTGCCCTCCGCCTCCCCAGCAAACAACCGAACGATTCAATTGTTTGATCGCGCAGCTATGTTCAGCTCCGAGAGCCAACCCAGAATATTCCAGAGGTCGTCCTTGGGGAACACTAAGTTGCCCAGAACTGTTATTTCCTCTGCATACCACAAATCCTGTTGAATTCAATCCACAAACATGTGAATCGCCGGCGACAAGACTCAACATGGGCATGACTCCGAATCCGTTCACTATTTGACGCGAAAGGGGCTGCATTCCCCAACAACTAACCCGGGAAGTGTTCTTCAAGATCCCGCAAGAAAAGCCAGACCCAGATGTTATCGTCGCAAAGTGACCCGGCACACGTACGTCATTGGGTCTCCAGCACAGAACGTTGCCTGAACCCACGACGGTCGCGCACACTTGGGTATCCCCAACCGCCAGATTCTCCAACGGAGCAGTATAATTAAAGTAAAGCCTCTTCGGTTGGAAGGAACCGCTGGAATTGGAAGATACAGCGTCCCAGCAGAGCAAACTGTAGTTACCGGACCTAAGGCCACAGAAGTAGCTCCTCCCGCCGCAAATCGACGAAAACGAAATGTTAGGAGCAACTGGCAGGATCTGCCCGCGACGATAGCATTCAATGCGCTGCGCCGGTTCCCCTGACACGATGCCACAGACGGTGCCGGAGTCATCGACTACGGCGAGAGTGGCGCCGGAACCCAGAGCATAGATTAAGGGGATTGCAGAGAAGAGGGTGACGGCGGCGAGGAGGCAAACGTTGACGGAGAAGACGGTGAGGGGGAAGAGGGAATTCGTCATGTAAAAGGATGGATTTTGACGTTAGGTAGCGGTCGTTTCTGCTTCATTGGCAGAGATGGAAAATGGGGAAGAGGAGAGAGAATGAGATTGAGAAAAAGAGAGAATCTGAAAGTATATAGGGAGCGAAAGGCGTGGTGGAATTTTTCGGGGGTTTGGTTTAGACTTGAGGAGACATGGCCTTCTTCTGCGTTCTCAGGTAGCTACGCAGTGAGGCCGCGTTCGATTTCTGACTCGGCAACTCTCATTTTTATAAGTCCTTGCTTTAATTGCAAAAGGTGAGTTTTCATTCTTTTATGTGCGGAAAATGTAAAAGGAAAAATAGTTCATATATTTTAAGAAAAACTGATGACAGTGTTGGTATCACATATATATATATAGCGACCTAAAAGTTACAAATGAGGAAATTTTAAATCAAAGTAGCTGCCTAAAAATCTGAAAAATAATAGTAAAATGCATAACAAAGATTCAATATGCAGATTTTTTGAAATGATCGATCTTCATGCTCTTTTAAAATTTCAACTGAGGGGGTGAGGCAAGAAATCCACTCTCTTCATATATTTTTGTCTAGTAGATGGAAAGATTATCTCAAAAATACCTTAGCTAAAATTTAGAGAGAGATTGATTTTGAAATACTGATCGTAATTATAAGAATTAGTTGACTAATTTGAGGAGATTAAAAAAAAGTAAGTTAAATTAGTTATTGTAATAAATAAGTGTTGATCTACTATTCTAAAAAAATACTTAAATATCAAAAACAAAAAGAATTGGAGTCTTATATTTAGGATCAAAATAAAAGTTAAATAATATTTTATAGTAAGAACAGGAGGTAGTACTTTTGTTGGCTTGATCTTTGATCGTGAAACACACGTCCGACCAAATCGACTTCCCCTTCATTGCCCATTCTAACTAGAAACAAATTGACTTCTTCATTACCCATGTTATCTAAGAAACGGATTATTCTTAGGTGACTGTTCGGATCCTCTCAGATTTTTTTTTATAGCAAATTTAAAGTTAAAACAAAAGAAAGAATAAACAGGGTTGAAAAATAAAAGCTATAAATGAACAAGAAATTAGTATGAGCTTTACGTATTAGACGAAGTACGAAGCACCCTATCCATAGTTCACAAATAATACAAATCAGTACATTTAATGATCTAGTTAAAACTTGAAAGGGTTTATCTTTTGCGCTTGGCATGTATGTGGGAATTACTATCCAATTCTTAATATAAGACCCTATTTGACTTTTATTTTGGTCTTAAATATAAGATCTCAATCCATTTTGTCTCTCATATTTATATATTTTTTTCAAAGTAACCCTTCTAATAATGATAGTTCTAATCAATACACTTGATTAATAAGGATATTTTAGGAAAGACAATATCTATTTAGGACAAATAACTAACTCAACTTACTTTCTTAATCTCCTCAAATTATTCAACTGGCTCTTATAATTAGGATCGGAGGTAATACTGTTTATTTTTAACATTGTATAAATTTTGTGTCTCAAGAAAATAATCATACAAATTAATACAAATTTTTTATATGCGAGTCATCTTTTATTATAAGTGTACTTAATTTAAAAGAGAATTGCACTTTTATTAACGCCCTTACACTAATAAATAAGCACATAAATAAGGTTATTAATTAACATTGGATGTTTTCTCGCAAAGAATTATGCGTTCTAAAAAAATTAGGGGTTTAAAACTTTTTTTTGGGCCAAATGGTTTAAAAACTGAAGATAAATTATTGTTTAATTACCTTTATTCTATTTAAAATTTAATTCCCTCTTGATATTTTCTGAAAACGGACGTTAGTGCTTTAAAATTTGATAATAATAACTTGTCTTGGATTTAGAGCGTTTTTCATCAATAACAACACAACAGCAAAAGAGACAAAAAAAATTCCTTATTATTGGATGTAGATTCATAAAGAAAAAGATGCATATTGTTTTTGCAAATACAACACATTGAAAATAAACAAAATAGAAAAGTAAAATGAAAATTCAATAACAAAGTGTTTTTAATAGATATAATATTTATACGATTCATACATTGTAAATAATAATTGAAAAAATGGTTTATGGAACAGAGTGTTGTGGAACCAAACAAGGCGTTGGGGCAAGCAAGAACAGGAGGAGGGGGGGATTTGGAGGAAGAGGAACTTAACCTACGAAGGATAGAGGAAACGAAGATGTGGGCACCGCCGACAACCACGTGTCACATTTATTTTGGACTTCACGCGCCTTCTTCATGCACGTGCTTCGTACACGTAAGCACGCGAATTTAATGCGCGCCAAAGGAGCCCTTCTTTGACCTTCAACTCTCCATTAAAAAGGTTGCCGTTTTTTAATACATATTTCTTTTTTTTTTTTTGTTCAAACTAAAATCTTAACCCTCAGATTTGATTTTTTTTTTTTTAATTTGGAAACTTAAATTTATGATTGAGTTTTCTTTTCTGTTTGTAACCTGTTTCCATACTTAATCCTCCTTTTAGAAGAAACTTAAAAAAAAAAAAAAAAGGCTGCTAATGGGTTTTGAGATTCAAATGGAGGACTGAGAATGAGGAGGGCGTGATATGGACGGGGATTGCATTCAAAAATCAAAATATAAATGACATGGATTTGAAAGGAAAGTGACAGACGACGAAGATTGGGTTACTTCACTTTTCTTTTACGCTGGTCATTTAAAAAGCAGATAATTAGCTTGATCCCCGTCTCTGCGTGTGTGTGTGGCCTTTTTTATTAGTTAAAAAAACAGAAATAGTGTTTTAATGATTTCTTGTTAAGAGAGTATCTAGACAGAAAACAAATCATAATTTTAAAAATAATTTTATAATATGTAAAATAAATATGTAAAAAAAATCTCAGTTTATTAAAAAAAATACTTTTAAAAAACACTTTTGAAGATATCTAAATACTTCTTAAATTTAGGAGAAGAAGGATGAATTTAAACTCTCTGAATGGAGGAGAGGGAAGGAAAAGATTTTCTTTCTCACCTTTAATTTTCTTTCCATCCAAACAAAATGAGGGAAGTAATTCTCCCCATCCTTCCATCCAAAGTCCTCGAACGAAAAAAGGTTGAGGCTCCCCTTGCAAATCCATCAAAATTTGTTTTCGTTTTCATAGTGTGACCATTCCATTAGCTCTATTAATTAATAATTACGTAATTGATAGTTAATGAAGCATGTGATATGATGTAAACCAAAAAAGCATGCTATGTTTGTTAAACTTTACATATTTTAATTAATACAATCCATTAAACATGAATCTATTATACTATCTCTATATGTTAATATAAAAACTAGATGACTAATTTAGGAATATTAAAAAAATTAGTTAGGTTCGTTAATAATTTATAATGTGTGTGATTTTCCTAAATTATACTTTTTAAACATTTGTATTGAAACTATTTCTTAGTAATGAGAACCGTTATAATCAATAAGGATATTCTAAGTAACATATTATAAATTTAAGAGACAATATTGATTGAAACTTTGTAATTAAGATCAAATTCAATAATCCAAGTAGTTCTTATATTAAAGATGGGAGATAATATTATTTTTTTCACATTAGAAATGATTATTACAGGTATTTATCAAATCCCGATCTCAACTAATTCATTCATGTCTCGGTCAAAATTAAAAAAATTGGTCTGGAGACAAAATAAAATCTTATTGGCTACTTCCCATGCATACATATATACTAACTTTTTATTTTACCATTTTGTTTTAGTCTAGAGAAATTCAATCTAGCAATTACTGCAAGTCACCATGCAGGGAAATTTCCAAATTATTATTTTAAAATACAATCAATGTTGTTTTGTGTGTGTGAGTGTGACTCGTAATCTGAAATGGAGATGAAATGATTTGAATGAGAGACAAAAACATTATAGAGAGAAAAATGCGTGTAATTCAATAATAAAACTAAGTTTTATAAATGTGATTTTTTTTTTTGGGGACCCGATTTGTAAATGTGATTAAAATAAACTACAGTACCAAATTAATCGATAAGGGGTCAAATGATTATCTACAAATATTTTAAATAAAAACCATCATGTTATATATATAATAGAAATTAAAAAAAATGATGTAATGGGTAAATGATATTAAAAAAGCTGATTTTACAACAGATGACTTGATGAGGTAACATTTTTAATTTTTATAAAGATAGATTCAGTGATTAAAGTTTGAATCGTTGAACGATTAAGACTAATTCTGCATGGTCAAAGAAGAAAGTTACGGCATAGTTGATGGTCGTTGTTTGATAACACGCGAACAACGAAAGCTCGCTTTTTTTTTTTTTTTGGGCGAACAAAAGCTCGCTTTTGTTATTAGTAACCGTGCGTATCTTTTCACCATTAAGGACATGTTAAAAATGACCCTATGAAATTATTTTGAAACTTCTTTTTTTTTTTGGCAACGAAGCTTCATGTTTTCAATCTTTATAACTTTAATCATCTTTTATTTTCCTATTTATGTGTAATTTAAAAATTTATCACCATCTCGTTGGAGCTTAAGCAAGTTTTAATATAATCTTGGGAGATACACTGTAAGGTTCCCAAAAAAATATATTTACTAAAAAATCTCATAACAACTGAATAATTTGTAGCAACAAGTTTCAATATAAAAAATGATAACAGGTTTTAGCTACTCACTTGTCAACAAATTTTTTGGTAATTATCTTACTTCTTTAAGACCTCACAACAATTTTTCCTGTAATCTTTACAATCATGTTTTTTCATATATGCCTTTGCTTTTTGTTTAAATTATACTTTTATTTTTTTCCTTAATATTAACCTAATAGTATATAATATAACTTGCATAATCAGTTCATAACACATCATTTGTTGTGCAAACAAAATTTAATTAAGGTTAAATATATGAAACTTATATGAATGTATTTATTAATGTACACGTATATGACATGAAGTTTAGGGTTATCTAAGAAAATAAAGCTTAAAGATGACTCCTAAGATATCATGCTCTATTAGTAAAATAGTGTACTAATATTATTAGCATAAATTTACAAGTTTATGATTTTTGTTGTTGAATTTTTACAAGTGTAAACACCCCATTTTGTCAGACCCACTAAAAAAAATTAAAAATAAAAAAAATCCTTCTTGAATTTTTTTTTTAGAGGCCAAGTTTAAAACTTGAAACGCCACATGTGGCAAATTAAAAAGAGAAAACTTAAATAAAAA